ATGTATATATATATGCACTCGTGCGTTTGTGTGTGTATTAACTTATATGTCAATAAAACCACTGATAAAAACTACTTCCTAAAAAAATACATTAATATTTCTCCTGTAAGATATTTATCAAAGTGACATGAGAAAAATAAAAATATTTGATGTGTCTCTGTTTCTCACACTCCTTTTTCTGATGTGCCTTTCTTTCTTTTTTCATATTTACCAAATCATTTCATTTTCTTCATTGGTTTCTATCTATATATTTCTCTCTCAACACTTATTCTGGTGGTGTAGAATCAATTTACTTGCACATTTACAGCCTCGGGGCTCAGGACAATTTAAAATAACTACGTCGTAACTATTCCTCCTCGCGACCAAGATATTTCTGTGTGGTTTAGACAATTCAGAATTTCAAACATGTATTAATGATATTCAAAATCGACTGAGTTCAGTCGACTTTTACTCGTCTTTCGATTTCTGCATGTCAAAAGATTAAAGAGATTCATAAATATATACAGGAGAAAATGTTATAGAATTTTTATATACTATAAAAATGTTCAGAAAATTAATGAGAAAATGCAGCCATTTCATTAAAATTTAGAATGTTGAAGCTTAAGAGAAATGTAAATGTTTAAAATTAAGCTTCATGCAAAGTATTGTTACATCATCGCAAATATTATTTATGCCGATGAAGACATAAGGGACAATAAACGCGCGTCCTCCCCCCAAAAATGTTCACATTTATAATGATTTTTTCCAACATATTTTTTATAAAAAAGACTTTTACTATTCATTTTACAACTTTGTGTCCACGATGCTTATAATTGTATGCAATATTTCCCGCATATCGAGCCCTCCTACCTTTATATATATATATATATAGTCAAACCTAGTGAGCCAGACAAACCTATCCAAGTCTACCTGGCTAGGTTTGTCTGGCTCATTAAGTTTATCAAGGTCTGCTCTACGGTTTTAGTGAGCTCTTTTTAGTTAGTTGTTTAATCGTGTCGGGGATTTTTCTTTGGGATTTGAACCTGTATCTGAGCGATTTTTTTCGACAGACTTTCATGTTCCTGACTCTTTCTTTTTTTAAAACCATTTTTTCCTTCGAGATTGATATGATTATTGGCAAATAAAAAATTCGAAGGTTTTTCCAGACGAGTATAGTTATATATATATATATATATATATATATATATATAGTGTTTCGTACGTGTGGGGTGTTTTGTGTTTTATACTTACATGACTGGTCTTTTTCTTCTATTTTCATATGGAACGACCTACAACATACATATATATATATATATATATATATATATATATATATATATATATATATATATATATTCCTCAATTTATAAAAAATAGCGAAGAAAAGAAATAAATAAGTAAGGGATGAAGAAGAATAAAAAATCCGTGCTAAATGCCAACCGACAAACGAACTCTAAATCAGAATATTCCTTAAAGGTCAAAAGGAAAGAATCTCTTAAAGCCAGTTTTTTCTGACAGTTTCGGAAACAGACGTATAAGGTGTTCTTTATAAAAAAAACGCAGGCAAATTATTCACTATCATTGCTTTTAAAATTTGTTTATTATTATCAACAGCGTTTCAATAAATAAAACGAAATATTTAAAAAGATATTTACTCATTTTCCAACGATATCTACTTCAAGTAAATATACGTTTTTCTCATTTTTAACCAATGTGTTTTAAGTTAGGCATTATTTAATGAATAAAATTTACCTCAAACATTTTAGATTATTCTTTTTATTCGATCTCTAGGGAGAAAAAATAGGCAACGAAATAGAAGATTTAGCTATTATTACTGAAACTGGAGTATTCTTCATTCTATTCACCATTGCATTAGTAGCAAACTGCATCAATTATTCATTTGTCGGTATCTTCTACGGAACAAGAGTATCTGACTGTCCCGAACACGGGAAAGATATCACAAATACCCCCCCCCCAAAAGATATATATTAATTAAGGTTTAAATATAAACTACAATCTGGGAAGAGATATAAATAGATTATTATTCTAATGTGAAACTAGAGGCGTTTACTAACACATATATGAACAGAAAATATGGATTGCGTTAACAGTTAAATATGGATTATGCTGTGTTAAATGATATCATATTTCTTCTGATTCCAAGAAAACTGGAAAAGCCAAAATAACCAACAAAACCAGAACAAAAACCACAAACATTTTCAAAAATATAGAATTTGACATGCTCATACGACCAAGTTTAAAAGATCACGTAGACGTCCGCTTACTCAGAAAAGGTACATATCAGCCATGTAGAAAACACAACGTACAACAATTTTGCATATATACACAAATCTTCCTATCAACCAATCAACCGTAGTTTATATGACAATTCTTTTAATGAAAGCATATTCAATGAAGCGAGTAAAGATTATTAAACAACTCTAGGATATAGTGGATGTTCGGCAAAACTAACATACACACCACGGAGTAAACATGACAACAGAATAAAACATATAACTTATTTTGGCCTACTGTAAAAAAAAAACAAAAAAAAAACATATAAACAAACGTATTAAAAATATTAATACATGCAAACACTTCCCCATAAAATAAAAAAATCAGCTACAGTGGCACTTATAACATGTCACAAATAAAAAAAACACCCCTACCAATGAAATGCACCGCTAAATGCATATCAAATTATGGATACCCATTAAACAGTGATTGCCACCAATAAAATATACGAATCACGGAAATGAAACAGATAATAACGAAAGAAAACGTATCTAGGAGTAACAGAATGACCCAGAAACAAAAGATCTCTACAGATCAAACAGGTTTTTACAAAGATAAACATCACTAGAACCCATTCTAAATATTTTGATGAACTTAAAAATGCCAAAATGGAAATAAAGGAAACGGTACCAGCCTACAACACTAACTCCGAACATTGTAAACTCGAGGAAGAAATAGCTAAATTCTACTTACGATTTCATAAAAACTTACTATATAAGTGATTAAAACTTATCTCTAAATATAAACAATATTGTTTGATTGCAATACTTAAAAATGGTAAAGAAAATAAGAATATTTTGTAAAACATTACCAAGAAAAGTGCAGATATATGCATTTTATACAACACAAGTAACGTAATATTCTTTAAGCAAAGGCAATAACTTGCAGAAAACAAATGAAGAAAATCATCCAAACGTAAATAATAAAATAAGTAAAGAAAGCATATAAATAAATAATAAACAAATTAACAAAATGTACGAATTCACTCAAAACTACAACTTAATGAATAAATATATTCAATAATATGAAATTATCTAAAATATTTAATAATAAAGAATAAAAGGTCTATGAGTCACACAAGGTGGACGGCGTAAATGATAGTTGAAATGTGCATATTTTAAGGACATATATATATATATATATATATATATATATATGTTTAAACTGACCTTTGACGAAGAGAGATTTTATTTTTCAGGATTTGGTTCAATAAAGTGATAGTTCTGGAGAATAAACTATCTCAATGGAACTTCATTCTTATCAAAGAAATAAGAAGAGAATGAATATTTGACGCCATGCACCTGACAGAGTTGATCCGAACTGTTAATGTCTGAAGTACAAAATGTCGCGCGTCTATACATTTGCCAATAGAGTAACAAGAATTTCGCAAAGTTTCCTCTTTGTGAAAGTGGTAACAGAAAACAATGAATCCCTTTTTAAGCCTGGACAGTAGGCACTGGTTAGTAGCAGTTCAAATATGACATCAATGCTCCATTCTTGGCCAAATCTGACTCTTTTAAAGATATAGCATGGAAGTAGGATTTAGGTACCTTCTCGAGCGGTACAAAGATCTAACCACTTCCTCGGCGTCTTTAGCAATATTACGAATATATACAAGTACCTTGATCTCTGGAAATAGATTAGTTCAATCAAATGTTCGAGGAAAGGAACCTCATTGACAGTACAGCCCCTCATCAGGACTGGAATTAATGTTCTGTCTGCTTGGTGCTGATAGGTTACTGACTTTCTTTTGGAGATATTGAATGATACAAGTCAATCTTTTCCCGACTGAGCTGTAAGAGAATAATCGGCAGAAATTTCAGCTGTTATGCTCTGGTCATGGAGAAATGCGAAAATCATCGGTATTGAATTTCTTACATATATCAAACATTTGTATATTGGAATTATTGTTTGCTTTAGAACTCCTTCCAGTTAAAAGGCATGAAAGCCTGAAAAACCCTTTCTATACTTTATTATATATGTTGATTCGAGTTTTTTTTTATTATTCACCTTATTTTAAAGAGTGTATTAATATGAGTGCTCTTATATATTTCAAAAGTCTGAGACATTACAATGCATTAAAACAAAAAAAAATCTTCATATTATTCAAAAGAGACATTATACGTTACTCAAAGATATGAAATGCAATCTGATGCAAAAAATGGAAAACAATACAAGTTTGAAATTGAATATATCTCCGGAAGTACTGAACATCGCATTTTCTATGGAACTGGTATGAACAAAGTTTTGAAATTCCCTGTATAAAGAAACCTAAAGCAAAATTAGAAGCGAATTTATATACTATTATTGAATGACAATACCAATCGATTATGTTTAGAATTTGCTTACCAGTCTTAAAGAATTCGGAACTATTCATAAATATGTTTTTAGTTTGCCTCCAGGGTCAGAAGGGAAATGCAAAAATAAAAAGTACATATTCTTCTATTAGTCTTTCATAAAAAATAATGTAAGAGGAAAAATATGAATATTAAAAAAGAGTTACTGGTTTTAAATCTACTTAATCTTTTGATGCCCAGAAAGCGAAAGGCCAGTGAAAGGCTACTGGACTCAGTCGATTTGAATCCCATCAATACATACTTGAAATTCAGAATTGTCTGAACCACGTAGACATTTCTTGGCCCCCAAGTGGAATAGTTCCGACGTACATTTTCAAATTGTCCTCAGCCTCGAGGTTTAAAATGTGTAAGTAAATTGATTCTCTTTTCTTAAAGAGAGAGATAGAAGGAGATAGACAGGCAAACAGAAAGTGTAAGAAAAGCAGCGAACGATAGAGAGAGAGAGGGGAGGGTTAGAAAAACATGAAGAAGAGAGAGATGCAAAAGTGAAATGTGAAGAGTGAGAGAGAAAGATAGAACGTGTGTGAGAGAGAGAAAGAGAGAGATACAGAAAGTGTGAGAAAGAAAACCTGAGTGTAAGAAAAACGTGAAGAAGAGAGAGAGAGGTAAAAGAGAATGTAATGTGCGAGCGAATGAGTGAGTGAAAGTCAAATAGAGAAAGTGTAATAAATAAGAACTTCGACTGAGTTGAACAAATATGAAGAGGGAGAGTGACCCATAGAGTGTGAGAAAGGAAAACGCTGAGAAAGTGAGAGAAAAACGCGAAGAAAGGAGAGTTTCAAAAGAGAATTGGAAAAGTGAGTGAGAAAGATAGAACGTTTGTGTGTGTGATAAACACAGAGAGAGAGAGAGAGAGAGTGAGCAAGAAAATTGTGTGATAAAGAAAACGTGTGTGTTATAAAAATGTCAAGAAGGAGAGACACAAAAGAGGTGAAGTGCGAGTAGGGTAGGGGGAGAGAGACAGGATATGTAAAGCATAAAAAACGAAAAGTTAGAAAAAGACAAAGGGGAGAGAAGAGCGAACGAATCAGTGAGTAATTGAAAGACAGAAAAAGAAAGTGTAAGAAATAAGAGCTTTGAGTTATTTAAACGTGACGAGGGGAAAGATACAAAGGTGACGATAGTTTGAGAGGGAGTGAGGGAAGGAGAGATAGAGAGAGGAATCGAGAAAAACGCGTTTTGATAAACAATACTAAGTGTCATCTAAGTTCTTCAGGTATTTCGCTAATTTTTCAAACTTACCTTCCGGCGGTAGAACCATATGTCTGTTGCCTCAAGTCTCCTCCTCAGAGAAAATTATCCCGCTTTCACTGCCATATAGAACATTTGAAATTCCATATCTGTTAAACTATTTTGTTTTTTAGTTTCTAATAATATTTTTCTATGTTTAATGCTTGGCTTGGTTTCTGGAAAACAATTTCCGCTATCACTATGAGCCTTCCGACTTTTGTCACATTTTCTGTCGTCTAATACTACACCCCAATGATAGTTGCATTTCGATGCCTGTTGCTTTTGTTAGCCGAAATGAGTACCTCACACTTTGGGCAATAACATTTGCTGAAAGATCTTTTTTTTAAAATCTACCATAGGAACAAATATCAATTATGAGCCTTCCTTGATAAGAAGGTTCCGTAATAATAAATATTTATCACTGATTTAGTGATGTATATTGAGAGCGGACAAAGTAGTCAATTAAATCACACACCCTACTAACCCAGATCCGTAGATATGTTTAACCATAACACATGTATGACAGCCACGGTAGAGTAATGACTTAGAAATCGAGGAGTTGCCTTTGAAATTCAGTCGAGTTTGTTATATTCACTTACGTGCAAATACCCTTGGGAACTTTATCAATCTAGCTCTTCTTCCCCAACCAGCTATAGATAGGCGAAGATACAAAAGAGAATGTGACGAGTGAGTGGGAAATATAGAATGGGTGAGTGTGAGTGTTTGGGGATGTTAGAGAGAGAGAGAGAGAGAGCGACACAGAAAGTGTGAGAAAGAAAACTTGAATGTTAGAAAAATCTGAAGAGAGAGATTCAAAAGAGAATGTGAAGCGCGATCGAATGAGTGAGTGAAAGACAGAGAAATTCTAAGAAACGTGAACTCTGAATTAAAAAGCTGAGTGATCGAGAGATCGCTGATTAAACCAGCTTCTCCACCAATCTCTGGTCTAGCGAGAGGATATGTGGAACTCCCTCAGCACAAAAAAGGCAATGGAAGAGCGGATAAACTCCTCAGATTCAATGGCAACCAACCACAGCTATGGACTAAATAACCTCACTAATCCATAATTGTCAAAACGTGGTGAGTAGGGCTACACTCATGAAGACATTTTCAATCAGGCAGGGCTTCCTCTACCAGGAGTGAATACGCTATAGATTTGGATTCCAACATGTGCATGACATTCTCTTTCCTTTCTACTTAAAATAAAACGTATTTACATTTTATATAGTATATGTAACGTGTTCTTTAACTTCGATGTTCAGATTGTCCAGCGATTGTAATATATTATTTTGCAGATATAATTATTTTTAATTATATTAAAACCATAAAATATAACTAATCAACATTTTCAGAAAATTTCGTTTCATACTGAGCTGGAAGAAAACTATTTTGCTTCGTGAGCTGCTTTTCTTCTATCAGGTCATCCCATAAAAATAAACTTTTTGAATAAAGAAAACAAGTGACCAAATGTTACATTTAATTACAGATTCAATCAACACTGTATTTTCCCTTATTATCTATGACTTCCTTCCATCTATTAACAAGCTTACTAATTCCATTACTGTAAAATTCTTTTGGCTTTGATTCATAGAACTCACAAATGTCAGTTTTAACCTCTTCCTGTGCTACAAAAGCTGTTTCTACCAAATGATTCTGTAAGCTACGAAACAAATGTTAGTCTGAAGGAGCAAGATCGGGAGAAACATGTGGATGAGGAATTTTCTCCCAACCAAGTTCTTCGATCTTTTGTGACGTGATTCTTGCCGTGTAGGGTATCGCATTGTCCTGATGTAACATCACCTCTTTTCGATTCACTAGAGCAGGTCTTTTTTTTTCCTCAAAGCTTGGTTCATACGCTCTAATTGCTGAAAGTATATTTGAGCATTAATTGTTGCATTAGGTGGTAAGAATTCAAAATTGGATTATTCCTTGAAGATTGAAAGAAGAACCTTTTTTCCCATGAAGTTCCCTTCTCAGCTGTGGCTGGGTTCCTTCCCCTTTACCAAGCCACTGTGTACGACGCTTAACATTTCGATAAAAGATCTATTTTCCTTCGCCAGTCACAAGTCTATCCAAAAAAGGTGAAACAAGTTGGCGAGAATGGAGAGAAGAACAGATGTCAACACGGGATTTGAGGTTGTTTTCAGACAATTCATGAGGCACCCATTTTTCAAGTTTAGGAACTTTTCTAAGTTGTTGAAGATGACGATGGACAGTTGTATGGTTTGAACTGAGAACCACTGCCAATTCCTCAACTGATAAAGCAGGATTTTCTTCAAGGGCTGCTTCAAGAAGCTTTTCGTCAAACTCAACTGGACGTCCGGTTCGATCTTCATCTTTAAGGATGAAATCTCCACCTCTGAATTTTGCAAACCATCTTCTGCAAGTTCTTTCATTCACACATTTCTCTCCATAAACTGAGTGAATGTTTCTAGCCGCTTCTGCTGAGTTTCCTTTCTTGAACTCATAAATCATTATGTGCCTCAAATGATTCTTGGATACTTTCATGTTAGCAGGGTTTTAATCTAACAAATTTAATTTTATTGTTCTCTGAAATAAAATTTGATCAGTTTAAATGCATCTAAACATAAGAATAATGTTCAGCTCCATTATTATAAAATACTCTTTAACTTTGGTTCATTTTAACAGAATGTTAAAATTCGGAGAGAACTTATGGGATGACCTGATATTTCCCATTGTCTCTCACTTATTTACTATACTCTCGGATAAGGACTAAGTAAGTATACGAGGGGTGACTCAAAATTTCATAGGTTGACAACTAAAATATGATCGTAACGCTGTGAAATTATACATTAATGTAAACTTTTCTTATTAATAATTGTATTCTTTCTTCTCAGGTAGACTGACATTTGACTTTTCAAAGACTATTTCAAAATTACTTAGTAGAACGTTCTCTTGGAAATCAACAAAATTTTTCATTGTAGTGTTATTAAATACCTGCAGAAAAAGAGTTTATCACCCAAGGACATTCATATTGGTAATGGTGTTAGATTATGGAATGAATCTATAAGTTTATCAACAGTTTAAAAGTGGACAGCTGAATTTAGGAGATGAAGGCAGAAACTTGAAGATGACCCACAGTCTGGGCGTCTTGAGACTGCTACCACCTGGGAAAAAATTGTTTGTGCTCATCACATTGTAGTGGGTGACAGGTGATTAATTATAAAACAGATATCCAGTGCTATTAGAGTTGAGAATATTCTGCACAAGAATTTAGCTTGACAAAAGTTTCTACTCGGTGGGTACCCCCGTCTTCAGACACATGACCAAACGCGCAACAGGCAGATCACATAACGGTAAAATCTGACATTGTATAGGGAAGATCTAGCTGGTTTCTTTGAACGTTTCCTCACCCAATATGGGTGCTAGGTTCATCACTGAGCCAGAGACAAATACATAAACCATACAAGGGAAACCGCCCTTCTCACCTGCTCCAAAGAAGGTCAATGTCGTTTCATCTACAAGGAAGTTGATAACCTCAGTTTTGGGGGATGCAAAGAGGATTGTGTTTATTGATTATATTCAAAATGGTGACCCCATCAATGGAGAGTTGTATGTCAACTTGCTGAGTCAGTTACTAAAGGCTATCAAGATCAAATGCTCAGGAAAATGACTAAAGATTTCTTCTTTCATCAGGTCAATGCATGGTCTCTTGGCTGGTGTGCGTGACTGTGAATTTGAACTAGTGGATCACACTCACTATTCTCCTGATTGGGTCGACTCCAACTAGAATCTGGCATCCAACATGAAAAATCACTTGGCTGGGAAAAAGTATCACAATGATGACGAAGTCATATCTGCTGTTGATGACTTTTTTGAATAAAAAATAGAAAGCTTCTTCACCAATGGAATCTAACCAATTCAACAACGATGTAAGAATCTGTGCACCGCAAGGCGCAATATGTCGAAAAATAGACCTCATTTGGTCCCATTCCATGAAAATATCTCGGTCAGAATCTGATCTGTTGATGCGACCCTCATATGTAATTTGAAGTAGAAGGCAACAAAATAGATATGCAGACTCTTTCAACAGCAGTGAGTCATTCGCACATAATGTTAGGCTAATAAATATAATTTGTGGTACGTGAATACTTCGCTTATTTTAACATTAAGATTACATGACCGATAAACTAAAACTACTCAATTAGACTAGCTTAAAAGATAACGTACTCTATGTACCCATTTAATTACTTTGAATCATTTATTTTACTTATTTACATATATTGTCATTTGCTTCATTTATTCTCTTCAAGTAGTAGATAATCCTGTCTTTCCACAGCTACCTTTTTTGTGGCTCTAACTATTCTCTACCATTAGGAAAGTTGCTCTTCTTCCCTTCTACTCAGTCTTCTCGCTTCTAATATGTTTAGTGAACAATACAATTTCCAAGTCGTCTTTCCTCATAATATTTTCTAGAAATTTTAACCGTGCCTTTCTGATTTTAAGGTTGATTCCTATTTTCTTTAGATCATCCTAGTTGCTCACATGTCCTGTCCATGATATTCACAGCATTCATTTCTAGAACAAGATTTTACTCGCTTTTCTTCTCGATTTTCTTCTTCATCATTGAACAATGTCCTGAATTCACTGCATTATTGGATCAAACGACTATTTTTTATTCTTTTCATGCTCTTAGTTTAACCAATACAATGGCCGATGACAACACAAGGTGGAGTGATACTGAATTAACTTGCTCCAATGGAAGGGGAATAAGAAAATAAGAAATGCATATTATGAGGAGGTTTATTATATTTATCAGGTTATATTTATCAGGTTAAATCTGAACTCAGACAGACCAAGATTGTAACCGGTTCCCCAAAGCTTTTGTTCTAAGAGAATGTTGAAAACATCATTTGAACGAGTAAAGTTTGAGGATCTTTGCAAAGGTAACAATTCTTTGAACATTGTGGACTCTCACTACAGAATCACAAAGAACCGTGCCAAATAAGAGAAAGCATATAACTTGAGGATTACCAACAGCAGCAACAACTGAATTGGATAGTATATGAGACTGGAAACCACTATAATAGTGAAAATAGAGATAACAGCTACTGGCTTTAAGAAACGTGTTTTACTGAAAATTTGATTTGAGATAAAGATTATATGAATTTTAACCGAAAGTAATACTGGCTGTTCGGTACATGAATGCCAATTGTTTCCTTGTAGTAAAACGTCTAATATTACTATTATTACCAAACCAAAGGAAAACAAAAGATGATTTGCGACCGTAAATATGGCATGGCGGCACATAACTGTAAAGGTATAAACTGGTGAAACTAAAGAATATAACTCGTTCGAACACATGTCATACTAATAGTGATGGAATAGGTAGAGGCTATCAACAGTTCAACTTTGGGAGAAAGGTTGCATAGTGAAGAATAATTTATCACCTACAAGGATGTGTAAAAGCTTTTGATTTCGATATTCTATAATTGGTCTGATTTCATTCTTGTAATAATAGCGACACAACGGGAGTTAAGTATTTTCTGAAGCTATACAAGGAATCGACAATTTTTCAGCATACATTGCAGCGGCACTATTATGCACATTGCATTTATTTCGGTAGTGTTCATTAGCTGCAATATGTCCTCGAGTCAGTGAGCTTATTTGAGGGTATGTTCACTGAACAGGATCGGCGCAGGTATACATTTTTGTTCCATGATAATAAATCCTTTCAAGTTTAGTTTTGGACCTATTGAAATATCAGCTAGTCTTTTTCTCATTGGACTGTGAGATTCGGGCCAGAAGAAAGATCAGCTACCATGAATTTATCATCAATATATTTGTAGATGCACGCATACACTGTGTTATCATCTGCATATATATTTACTAAGGGTCTCAGAGCGTTCTTGGGCAGAACTTTAATATAACATAGAATGAAAGTAGAGCCGAGGCGAGGCCCTTCTGGGAAACTAGCATTTATCTCATGCACCCGAGAAGATTAATGATTAAGTACCTGCCAAATTCATGATAACTGAGAGTAATGTCACAGATTTCATAACTAACTATTATGTGTAGCAATCCTCTGTTACCCCACTTTGTCAAAAGTCTTTCAATATCTAGGGTCATCAATTTTTTCATTATGGAGCGCTTCACACTGACATCTGTACGCGCAGCTGGATAGAGAAAGATTTTTCCCCGAAACTAAGCAATGTTTCAACAATTAGAAAGTTTGTGCAACAAACATTATGGTTATCCTTCTTCTACGGACACAGCCATACAAATTATCACGCATAGAATTATTAAAGATAATAAAATGTTTCTAGAGATATCTAAGATATTTAGAAGTGTTTGGTAGGATTCATTTGGCAGGGTCTTCAAATGGGAAAAATAATTCAGAGACCACATACACCATTAGCTACGTCATTCTCATGAGAGTACTGAAGATTTGGAGAAAATAATTATGTTACTTTAGAACTGTCGAAATCCAGGACATATCGGGTGAAAAGAATAGCACTAAACGGTTGGCAAAATTATTTTAAAAACAGTATTTAATCACTGAATTATGAGGCGCAATTTAATATAGTTTTGGCGATTTAACACGTTCCGACTTTTCATCATTTTTAATCTAGTAGATCCAGTCTATTTGAAAATATACCAGAGTATGCAAGATATGAGTTATTATAAATGTTAGCTTCTAGAAAAGTGACAATTGTATAAATGTGAATATATAGAAACATTAACTCCTTTCACTTGGGGAAAAATGATTCCATGATTTTCTTCTCATTGCTGAGTGAAAGTATGATAAAATTATTGCGTTTCTTCCTGCAATAATATCTTCTAGAAAAACTCATTTATACTATCTAATAGAAATGTTTCAGAAATTCTTGTATCAGTCCATGTTTAGGTTTGTCAAACGTCTAACAAAGTCTTTAGTTTCACTAATATTTCATGCTCTACACCAATGTTTCAGAAGTAACTATTCCGACATTGGCCGATAAGAATAAATGCAGTCAGATATTTAATGTGAGTTTCAGGGAGTATAAACTTCTGCTTATTACGTTTAAAATAGTTATGTCGTTCTGAAGTGTTTTATTTCTAAATATTATTATCCAATAAGTATGTAAGTTTTGATGCCAGCCCACTAGTAATACCTTTTCTTGGCTCAGTTTAACACCATTTAAAACATTATATAGATTATTATGATAAGAACAACTAGGAAATATTTATTGATCTAACGTTTCACTTTTATTAAAACTTAAAATGATAAATAATAAATAATGGAGTCTTATTTTTTCTTTATCGATTTCACCCTATACAATGCAGTAAAGTCACTAAAACACAAGGGTTTACTTGTTGTGGAAGAATTAGAAACGGGAACATTACCATTGAGTGAGAACAAAGTAAGACGATTTAGTAACACAGTAGATAGTGATTGACATCGTATTTAGATTTTTGAAGATTAAGTTTGCTTGGAAGCATGGAACCGGAAGGGATTTCCACAAGCGAGAAGTGGGAGAAAAGAAACTGTTAGCATAGAACTTATGGTTACATCTAGCCAACTCAACTAGAAACTGATGAAAATGCGCCGCTAGTTCTGCATTGCGCTTAAATTCAAAAAGTCTAGTTAACATAGAGAAGATATCGTCCGAAGAATTCCGCTGTAATTATTAACAGAAAAGTTAAAGTCGGTAACTATTACGGTGGCTGGGACGTTTGAAACATGTTAGATTGATAAACCTTTCTTATTTATTATTTTATCATTCTCGGATTCCGATCTATGTTTGATCTGTTCTTCATCCCAATTCATAGACTATTATATAATGCATATTTTGTTCAGTAGATGAAAACGGTGAATATGTTGGCATACCTTTTTTATGATTACAAGTATGATAAACTATATAAATCGAAAATTATATCTGAATTTACCTAATCTATTTATTAAATGTTAATTCATTCACCTACACGTAGCCAAATCTAAATAATGCATGAATGTTTATATTATGCTAAAAAATATATTTAACGTTAATTTTAGAAAAAAAGGCCTTGAGCTGTTTGGGGAATCCCCGTAAAAACGAAAACAGTTGTGTAAAACTTTAATTTTGAAATGAATAAAAAGTGGTAGAAAAAGATTCTATTCGCTGATGGGAAACGTCGCTTCACTCTTTGTCGATTATATTCTAAAAGAGGTAATGAAAAATATGCTATTCTCACTAAATTCAGGGACGCATATTTATGCACTTTTTTCTGCCTGTCTCTCGACTTATTTTTTTATATTTTTTAAAATATCTTTTTTTTTTGTAAATTTTTAACACTGAATAATTAAAGAGTTATCCTGCTTATTAGCCTTTAGGTTCAGATAATTATCGAGATTCGTTCAATTTCCAAATTATCTTTTTTTTTTCCTTTTTACAAAACACATTTAGTTGGGTTTCACATCTCATTATTATAAATACATTTCTACAATTTACGCAGGAGGTGAATTTTTCCTACAACTTCTGCTAATTTTAACTAAATTATTTTTTTTATATCTAATAATTTCAGTTTTCCATGGGTTTAGAAATTTCTTTGTGATAAAGTAGCACTTAATTTCTAAAAAGGAAATCAATACACAGATTAATATGGATCCCGTTTGTCTGGAAATGTGGAAAAATTTAACAAAAAACAACAGTAATTGGAGCCAATGTGTGAATCCGGCAGAAAACAAAACAAAAGGTGAACTTGTTTCCTTGAACGAATTTAATTGTTGTATAAAAATATTAAAGCCCACTTGTGAGCTAATCATTTACTGAATTGATTTAAATCAGTTATTTCATCCCTACAGCTACAAACCACTTTTCTTAGGCATTCCTAATTATTTCATTCGTGATATCAATTTTGCTTCCTATTATCTTCATCTTATTTGATGGGCAGATACATAGAGAGGCAGAGTAAAATGCATGTCTGTGTTAGGAATAGAAAGCTAGAGGCAGAAGAAATCTGGCTCAACTGAAGGATGCTGAGAATACCATAGAGCAAGAGTGTTATCAACGAATAAATACTAAAGAAAATAGAAGCAAAATGAAAGCTTTGCATCCAGAATCAGAAAGAGGCAATTGAAATTTCTTGAACACAATGAGGAAAGACGACTTTGAGAAAATGAACATCACAGGGCATATCGAGTGAAAGAGGAATAGAAGAACGTGTTAGGCTACCGACATGACAGGCTCGTGTGAATAAATCCCTCAACGGGGACTGGGATCTTGGCAAAACAGTAAAAGTTACTGAGAGATACAAGTGATAGGACGCTGAGGATAGCTAGGCTCACACACTTTCTGAATAGACACGGTATATAGCAGGAAATTAAATGGTTATGTTTACTTGATGTATATTATCAAAGAGAGAATAAATAATGTTTCGGCTGTTCAGTCACCGTTCCGAAATCTGTCCAAGAATATTTCTTATGAGAAAATGTTATAAAAATAATTTGCCATTAATAAACTGATGTTAACAATGCTTTCATTATATATTTATATTATAAATATATAATTGAATTTTAGATTAAGATATTTGATTTCCTTGAAATTGTTATGGTCCGGTTCCTTGTACCACGGTGACAGTCCAAGGTAGAACCAATAAAGAAGAACTCGAAGGCGGATATGGAATAACAGATATATTACAAACAGGAATATATACAGACTAGTAGAAAGTGTTAGTACGAACAAACAGGTTTAGTAATAATTGTCTGAACGCGACTGCCTCTTACGCGACTGACTGACCCGCTCTGACAGACGCTTGACGGACTTCACTT